TGAAAAACTGGAATAACTTGTCACTGGTAGAGTTTCTGTATTATCCTATTCACAAAAGACTGTGAGGATCGTTGATGAAGAACAAGCAATTTAAAATTGCAATGAATTTTTACGAGGGAAAGGAGGAGGGGGTGAACGAAAGGGGAAAATCAATAGGAAGTTTAACGCGACGAATTCTGTCCTATGGATCATCTTAATGAAACGACGATTTTTCCTTTTCATGATTGGACAAAATTAAGACACTTGATGAATTTTGATTTGTTTCATGAAGAGACTATCATTAGCCTATGGTGTACACAAGTATTGAAGAAAAAAAATGGAATTTTAATGGATTTTTAAAAGAATATTTGCAGAAGAAGAGAATCTGCAAAAGATGGTAAAATTTCAAGTCACTGTTGAGCATGATTTAACGATCCTTCATATTCTTTAATCATATTACATTATGAAGCATTTAGAAGATAATCCTAGATGATGATAATCCTGGACCGAAATAACCTAACAATATTAAGGATTTACAAATATTGCCTCGTACTAATTTTTTAAATTAACATCGTTGTCATCCCTAATTAAAATATTCATGATCTCCCTATGCATTACTACGGATTATATGAAATAAGTCTGTCGTTACGAATATGCAAATTTGCCAGATACGTAGATCATGCATATATAAGCAAGTTTAAAGATGGAGAATGTAGAGAATTACTTCACTCTTTAAGAAACCAATTTTTAACGCTCCAATTCGTGAAACTTGAAAAACACCCCTCGTCTTACTCGCGATTTTGAGTATTTCGTTCTAGTACTTTGAACCGTGTAGTACGATCCAAATCCACGTTTACAACATCAGAGACAGTGTCGAATTTATGTCTCTCGCCGGGATGCCTCGTTCCTCGATCTCAGAGTCGAAAGTCCATGAGAAAATCCGGTTCGCTTCGAGAGAGAGAGAGGGTTGAACAAAGGGGTCGAGCGATTTTCCATCCTGAGATCAGACCGTTTTCTGGATTTTACGTTAATCTTACAAAGCATTTTCATGGTGAACGAGGTTGGTTATTCACAGGTTTGAAATATAAGAGTCTACACACACTCACGACTAATAAGCGAGGCGAATATAATTTATTGGATTTTTTTAACGCATATCCGCTACAATTTTTTTGCGTCTCTTTATCTCGCTGTGGAACATATTAAGTCTCGTTTTATCCATTGTATTTTGAGAGTATTTTTGGTCCTGTTTGCAGATTAATTTATCATCTTTAAGATTTCCATACGCAATCATCCTTTTTTTCGAATTTCCATGCTTGATTTTCCTTTTTTTTTTTAATTGTTTCAAGATTTGGAAAAATTCTAAAATATTTTATATATTTTTGTTATTAACAAATAATTTGATTGAAATATAATTATACGTATCTATTTGTTTTCACGATATTTTAATTACAACAAAATATTTACATAACATGATACTAATAACCCAATAGCGTTAAAAATGGAATTAATTTCTCCTTTCTCCATAATTTTTAAAATTGCATCGACTCCTCTAACTTCTGTTACGACAAATGATAATTTTACTATGACATAAATTATGCAGTCGAAGTTCTACAATTCCTCTTTCTTATATCCACGGGAGAAAAAAAAAAACAAGATAATATATTCAAGCGTCGCGCATTAAAACCGCTTGGACGGAATTATTTTTAAACTTCGAACGAGAATATCCGATGACGTCGACCGGATCCTGAAAAATCCGCTCAGCTGGGATTTGCGCTGACGGCTTCGAGAGCGCAGTTTCGAAATACTCGCGCATGGGAATATGGGAATTAATTAACGTGAAAGGGGTTGGAGAGAATTTTTTATTTTTTTGAGGGAGAAGGGGGAGGGAGGGGGAGTCTCGAGCTTGGCATGTTACCAATTATACTCGAATAGATATTTCTATGGAAATTCACTGGAAACAAGGATTCTGTGTTATCATTTAAAATGTATTATAAAAAATAATATTCGTCATTACCTGCAGCTTATGAAATAATATATTTTTCTTTAAACCACTAATATAATATAAAACAAAAATTTTAAATACATGATAATTTGATAAATATAAATTTCCAAGAAACAATTAATTAAACTATTAATTTTCGTAGATTAAAAATTACTTTTGTTTTATATTATCATTATACTACATTTTAAAAAAACAAAAGATTAAACCTATAATCTTTAAATATCCCCAAAAATTAATTTTTGCCTTCCAATTCCATATTTCAAACAAACAATCCCAAATAGCGATTTTTCCTCGTGTTAATCTATATATTTCTATTCATTTCCGGTCTCATCTTCTTTCCATATATTCGAAAGCCGATCATTTTCGAAAATATATCAAAATGTATTCCGCATAAAATTCCGCAGTTAAATTGCACTATGGATAACCGGAAATTCACCGTGTCCCATGTTCATTCATCGGCCATTCAGATTTATTTCCCGTGTCGGCCCAGGGTTTCTCCTGGGCCGCGTTGATCCGTTGTAACCACTTGGCCGTATCCACGAGTGCATTTCGATGTGAGATCCGGATGCGGCGCAGGATTAAACCGGAACTCGTTCGAATCTCGCGCGGATCGCGACCGTCCATCCTCGTTTTCCCAACGCGTGCATGCAATGCTCCCGGGTTAAATTTATACAATATTGTTCCCGAATTCGCTTCATTTTTCTTTATACCTTTATACTTTATGCTCTTCGACTTTTTTATTCATCTCTCGAGAGCCGATATCTTTCCATGGCGCGTGATAATCGCGTCACGGATGGAACACGAAGTTATTACGATCGCTCGATATAAAAAAACGATATGGAATTTTAGAACGATGCCTTACAATTATAATTTCATTGGATTTATGGAATGATTGAATTTCTTTTTCTTTTTTTTTTTTCCCCGTTCGAAGTATTGATAATTTTATCAACCCTTTCTTTTTAGAGATAAGGATAATTGTCTTTTATTGATCGTTTGCTATTAATACCGCGGAAAGAAAATATAAAAGAATTTCCAACAATTGAAATGTACAATTCAAACCACGTCATATCTCTTATCTATCTATCTAACATCCAAGATCATGTTCGCTTAAACAATTTCGACTCGAAGCTCAGAATTTTCTTACCAAAGAAACGATCAAATTCTTTCGCGCACATATATATATCTTTCGTCGAAAAAGATCGAAAGTTCCATTCACCGTTTTCACGAGTAATTTTCCCACGATTCCCGAATATTTTCAACGATTCTCCGTACAGAGGAGGCGATCGTTTCGATCGTTAAATTCGCAAATTCGTACACACGGATCTCTCGTACAAACGCGATTTCCCTGTGTCCCCCAGCCCCTCCTCCACGGCCGATTTTGTTTCGCCGGCTCAGTGTCGCGTGTAAACGGTCGTGCACGTGTCCCGAGAACTCGATGGGATCGAGCGCCGTGCGTTATCCACTTTAACGTCGGGGCCAAAGCCCGAATTGCAGTTTCGAATTAAACCGTCCGGATGATCCGTCCCGTCTGGCCCGCTTTAAGGCTCGTTTGCAATTTCGTTGTCGGCAAATATGTTCCCGACAGCCGGCGCTGCTTCGTTGCCTCCGCTCCACGGGATTATGCTCCCATGAATTAGACACGATCCCTCGGCTCTCCCCGTCCAATACGGATTTCAAAGTAGATAAACTGCTCGTAATCAATGCCTAACGAGGGAAACGCGCGACCAATTATCGATTTTCAAGTTTACTTATGCGTTTAATTATACATGTGTAACCAAATTTTTCCAATCGATCATTCTAATCTTCAACTGATCCCAAAATATCCTCGCTTCGAAGAAATCTCTTCCACGAACAAACTTGCCCCTCCACCTTTTCTATTATTGAAACGAATCAACTATACAAAGCATAGTTTCTTCCTAATTTTTCTTGAAACACCGTATTAAGCATGGAAGAAAAATTTTTCGTCACTCGTCGCCTTGTTCCCAACAATGTAATCTTTCAGAATCGGTTTTAATTCGGCAATTTTCCTCCGTCGAATTCGTCACGGGATTGGAGGAACGCGGAGAGCTCTAATGTGACAACGAAGTTAGAAGAAGGGTGCAGTCACAATGTTCCGCGGGAAAGTGGTAAATTTTCCAACCGGCTGCACTCTTTCTCTCTCTCTCTTTCTCTCTTTCCAGGTAATAATTCCAGCGATCGATAATCTCATCAGTGAACTTTTACAATTTCGCTGGTGCAATGGAGAAGGAGGAGGATGTTGAAGAAGCGGAAGAGGAGAGGAGGTGCTGCGGAGTGGTTGAAAGCGGTACACGTGGACGCATTCCGTACACGTTCCTCGAGTTTATCTCGGAAAAGTGGAACTGACATATTGGGATCGTTCTGACCGTCTAGTCGCATTTATGTACCCTCCGTGTCGGCGTGCCACGATCCCCCTCCTTTTTCTTCCTCTCCCCCTATTTACTCGCCATCACCCATGGACCAAGACCAAGCTTCAGCTTTTATATACTTGCGCCCAATACAGAGAAGAATTCGAAGAGAATTCGAAAATGAAATATTTCGTTACATTTGGAATATTTTTTTTGTATTGAGAGAATTATCGAAGAAATGGAAAAGAAGATTATATCGAATGCGAATCACAATTACACAGATTACAGGAGGGTTAGAAATAAATAAATAGGATTGGACAGACGATGAAGATTTGGTCGAATCTAATCGAATATTGAAATAATTGATGGATTATCTAATTGTCACAGAGCATAAATAATATGCTTCCATCGATTCTATTCTCAACGTCTCATTGTAATGATCATTACTCTTTTCAAGTTTTAATTAAATAGTTTTATTCCTTTTAATATTCACTGTGCTATTTTCGAATAGTATTTAGGTTGACTATGCTTAACACCGATATCGAAGAATCTTTGATTTAATTATTTCATCTTGTTTATTTGTCAGAGCTCTCTTGTTTGAAATTGTTTATTAACTGGATGGAACTTCAAGAGGAATTCCGTTCTTGTTTCAGGTGTCGAATGAAGCAGTGGAGGAGGGATCTACCCCCAACCTCGGTGATAATTACCTTTCATAACGAGGCGAGGTCGACGTTGCTCAGAACCGTCGTCAGGTATTAACAAATTTGTTTTTCGAATTAAAAATTTATTTGTATAACACGAGTTATGGAAGAATAACAGAAAGAAAGGCGATTAAATGGGAAATCGTTGGAAATGGGAAAATATCGACAGGCAAGAAAATGCATTGGACAAAATTCAACGAAACGAGATTAATATTTCTTCACTGATAACGTACGGCCAAATTCCCACGCGTACAACGTGTAATACTAGATCGAGTTTCACGGAAAACGCGAGAAAACTTTCAACACCGAGAGTCCAGGGAGACGAGGTCTGATGGAATTTCCTAATCATCGTTCCATCATTTCATGCCCATTTATACTCCTCGTCGTAATAAATCACGCGTGAAATTTGAAGAAATGACGTAAAAAGAAAGCAACGATAAAATTATAAATCATTGATTCTTATGAAATTAATTCGCCTACGATGAGTTTTCGATTTGAAACATATTTGTTTCAATGGAAAGGAAATATAGCCAAATATTTTTTTACCTTTGATTATTTATTTATTATATTATAGTTGCTTTCCTTAATAATATTCGTTGTACGGATATTACATCGTATAAAATTTTACATTCCTTATAAATTAAATATTCAATCACGATCAATTCTACTTGACTTATTCTCTATTTTATATTATTAATCCTACAAACTCAAACGAAATTATTTACCGTGAAAAGAAATTTTTTTTCCCCCCCTCGTTCGAAATAACATCCTCTCTAAAAGAAAAGGAAAGAGGAAAACCGTAGACAAATTTATTTAGGGAAATTCATTTAAGAGAGAATTCTTGGTAGAGGTTCGGGCTACATCTCGAGGGTAGTTTACGACACTCGATGGAATTAGAAGCGTTTAATTTCTGCGAGGAAATTTCTCTTGTTACGATCGTCTAACGAGTCTTTTGCAAGAACAGAAAATGATATAACGGAAAATTCATTTTCGATTTCAGCGTGCTGAACAGGAGTCCGGAACATTTGATCAAGGAAATTATACTGGTCGACGATTTCAGTGATCATCGTAAGTTTACTTTCCCAAATTTATAGATTATAGATTCCTCTTTTGGACACCACGAGTTGTAACCTCGTGACTTACTTGAAACTTGCAACCTGCGAGGAGAGCATCGAACGGTGCCACGACAATTCACCTACTTTTTTCCAGCGGAGGACGGTGAAGAGCTGTCGAGGATACACAAAGTGCGAGTGATACGCAACGAAAAGAGGGAGGGTTTGATGAGGTCGAGGGTGCGAGGCGCGGATGCAGCCACCGCCACCGTGTTAACATTCCTCGACTCGCATTGTGAATGCAACGCCGATTGGCTAGAACCACTTCTGGAGAGGGTGGCTGAGGATCCTACAAGGGTCGTCTGCCCTGTTATTGATGTCATAAGCATGGACACCTTTCAATATATCGGTAAAAAATATATAAGGTTTCTCTTTATTCCCATTTTTTTTTTCTTTATCCTGCATTTCCAACAATTGATATTACTTTTTATTTAGTAATTGACACAAGGAATCCGATCATTTTAAATTGCATGAAATCGTATATAAAATAAAAGAACGAAGAAACTTGAAATAGAAGGGAGAATTAAGTGCATAAACAACTGAAAACTTTTATCTCGACTCTCCATTTTTAACCAACTCTCGAATAACTCTCGCACTTCTTCTTCTCAACCATTTATCCCTGGACGGACATAAATTGTATTCTGTTTTTCTCTATTTCTTTTGTTGTTTCAACCACCGTTAAAATAGCATACTTCTCTCGACATTTTATGCGGGAGCAACCAATGTGCTCTATTCAAAAACAAATAAAAAAAATCCAAGCGATACCAATCCGATTAATCAAACCCAAAACTCTTCTATTCCTTTACTCAATCGAAAAATCATCAAATTTCTCGATTTCTCCTTTGTAGGCGCGTCAGCCGATTTAAGGGGTGGTTTCGATTGGAGTCTGGTGTTCAAATGGGAATACCTGAGCCAAACGGAAAGGCAGGCGAGGCAAAAGGATCCTACGCAGGCGATCAGGACCCCGATGATCGCCGGTGGCCTCTTCGTGATCAACAAAGCGTATTTCGAGAAATTGGGCAAGTACGACACGCAGATGGACGTATGGGGCGGCGAGAATCTCGGTGAGTCATCTCTCTCTTATGGCGTTTGTCCGTGAAAATTCGTGGAACGTGATTCGATCCCCGTTTTTCAGAAATATCGTTCCGCGTGTGGCAATGCGGGGGAAGCTTGGAGATTATCCCATGCTCGCGCGTCGGCCACGTGTTTCGAAAACGTCATCCGTACTCGTTCCCAGGAGGCAGCGGTAACGTTTTCGCGCGAAATACGAGAAGGGCCGCCGAGGTGTGGATGGACGATTACAAACAATTCTATTACAACGCGGTGCCTTTAGCGCGTAACATACCGTATGGAAAGTAAGTACGATCCTCTAAACAACTCATATCTCTGGTAAAAAGTATTCGACCACTTTTTCAAAATGGAATGATATTTTTTTGATGAAATTGTTTTTTGAAAAGTTAGAAGAATTAACTTTCTAGAGATTAGAAATTATAATAATTATTACGATCCTCTAAACAACTCATATCTCTGGTAAAAGATATTCGACCACTCTTTCCAAATGGAATGATATTTTTTTGATGAAATTGTACCAAATGATTCCAATCTTTTTTAAAAAGTTAGAAGAATTAATTTTCTAAAGATTAGGAATTATAATAATTATTACTATTACGATTATCTAAACAACTCCTATCTCTGGTAAAAGATATTCGACCACTCTTTCAAAATGGAATGATATTTTTTTGATGAAATTGTTTTTTGAAAAGTTAGAAGAATTAACTTTCTAGAGATTAGAAATTATAATAATTATTACGATCTTCTAAACAATTCATATCTCTGGTAGAAAGTATTCGACCACTTGTTCAAAATGGAATGATATTTTTTTGATGAAATTATACCAAACGATTCGGATCTTTTTCAAAAAGTTAGAAGAATTAACTTTCTAGAGATTAGGAATTGTAATAATTATTATTATTAAAATTAAAATTGATACCTGCCAATTATTTGTATGTCTTCTAATAATTGCTGGTGCTTCATTTTTTGATATCATATTATCGCACACGATGTTATCGAACATAATTTATATTTGAATATAATCGCATTCAACGTGCATTTTCATTCGTCGTCTTTTAATTGATCAAAAATATCAAATTTATATGCGATATTTCACATTGATATATAATACAACGCAATTTATATTGCATGATAATCACGTTCACCAATTAATATATTGACATATAACTTGATCAAAAATAACGAGGCAAAGTTATTAGCCAAAATGTTCAACAATCCTCCCCAATTATTCACGGATCCTCGAAAATGACGAACGTGTTAACAAATAATCGGCAGGTATCAAAAGAAAACGAGACGACGAAAGTATATATATATATTCCTTCAATATAAATTACCTCGCAAGTTACCCTACCACCATCGAGAACAACCATCGATGGCAACAATCTCACGATACACAACACCCACACGTTATTCTTCCGCTTACAATCTATTCATTGTCCAAACTTTCTTCGAGAAACGAAGTTTCTTTTCTTCGAGATCGTTTATCACGGGCTAATTTCTACGGTTCTCCTCGTCTCCCCGCCGGAGAAAAGAAGAAGGAGGAAAAGCTCGATTTACGGGCCGAAATACCGATAGCCGATTTCATTAAAACGCGTCAGCGCACGTGAGCGGTGTTAATAAAACAGGGCGTCGCCTACCCTTGTTTCAGTATTCAAGACAGGATGGAGCTGAAGCGGAAATTGCATTGCAAGCCCTTCAGCTGGTATCTGAAAAACGTGTATCCAGAGCTGGTTATACCGACCAGCGAGGGTGGACCCGGTGGATCGTTGAAACAGGGCTCCGCGTGTCTGGACAGCATGGGCCATCTCCTCGATGGAAACGTGGGACTTTACCCGTGTCACGACACCGGTGGTAACCAAGTAAGTATGGCTCTGTGTTATTCATGCTACGCCCCTAGTATATTCGAGTATACTGCGATGAAATAACGATACAAATAACTATTCGCCACGTTTCTATTATCGATCGATATATTCAATTTTTATATTTCAATTATTGTATATATTTTTACAGATGGATTAAAGAATCGAGAAATTTTAAAGAAAATATTGAAGATTCTTGGAATATTTTTTGAATATCTTTCGAAGACTATGGAAATAATGCGTTGAGAGAGATTTTATTGAAATAAATATAGAATTTTTAGTAGGAAAATGAAATGACTTTCGAAATTTTGATTAAAAAAATTTCCTAGATAAAATCAAGTCGCGAGACGAGAATCAATATATTATACGATTTATATTACGATCAATATTACGATATTTATAATCTCGATTGCAAACGATAAATCTCGACTCGATAAATCTCATCTGAATTTCTTACAGGAATGGGGCCTGACGAAGGACGGTCTCATCAGGCATCACGGCCTTTGCCTAACCCTTCCTGTCTACGCGAAAGGCACGACGCTGTTAATGCAGATCTGCGACGGTAGCGAGAATCAGAAATGGAGGCACCTCGAGGGCGGTTTGATCCGCCACTCGAGAATTCCTGTGTGCGTGGACTCGAGATACCACGCGCAAAAAGGAATCACCGCTGAAAAGTGCGACTCGAACGCCGAAACGCAGAGGTGGCATCTTTACAACCACAATCATTAGCTTCCGAGTGTGATCAGTAGTGGCTCGTGAAGACAACGGTGCCGTCGTCACTCACGAAGGGCCGAAGGGGTGCAATATTTGATCAGAAGAAGAAGGGTCGACCTGATAAGGGAAAACGATCTAATCGATCCGAGATCGAAGTTGCTCAATCGGACCCGTAAATGATGACTCGAAACAGGGGTTCGTTGTTACGAAAAGACCTTCTCCACGTGACGCGTGAAGATGAAGAAACGATTTATATATTATAGGAGAGTGATATATCGATCTAACGTATTCATAGTTTTAACGAGACTGTGCGTTG